GATGTCATCGGCATAAGCCAGCAATTGCACGCTCTTGTAGTAAATTGTTCCTGAGCGGTTCAGTTCTGCAGCTCTTATTATCTTCTCCAACATCAGATTAAAGAAGTCACATGAAAGGGAGTCGCCCTGTCTGAAACCCCGTTTTGTGTATAATGTATGTACATAAGTAAAAATAACAAAACACAAATACATGCATAAACATAAACGTCCCACTGGGGAAATTGGTAAGCTCATCGGTAAGGTACATATAGATTTTCGAATTCAGTCTTGTACTCACATATTTGTACTTGTTTTTAACAAAAAATAAAAACATAACACAAATATATGCATAAACATAAACGTCCCACTTGGGAAATAAGTAAGCACTTAGTAAGGTACATATAGATTTTCGAATTCAGTCTTGTACTCACATATTTGTTCTAGTTTTGCGTCATTTTAAAACACCACCCGTGCGTCCGCCACTGGCTGACACGTAGTTTAACCCCCAAAACCCCCCTGCTGGATCCGCCACTGATGTATATAGATATGAAAATGGCATTTGTAGTACAAATAATTATTTAAGTAAATATCATACTTGTACAAGGATATGTTTTTAAGAATTTATTGCACACATATTTGCATTCTTCTATACACACATAAACAGATTTACATCTGTTGCGCATACATTTATACATATATCTAACAGTAATAAATAACTTTGTTTATGTATGTAAGAATGTAAATATGAGTGCAATAAATTCTTAAAAGCATCCTTGTACATGTATGAAATTTAATTATATAATTATGTGTTCTACAATTTCCAATTTTCATATCAATATACATACATACATATGTATGTATTCTTATAAGTAAGTGCACAACCAATCTATAATTATGGAACACATTTTCGTATGTATTCTAAAAAGTAATACTAGGCTTAAGGATATATAATTGGATATTGGTCCAGCTTAGCATTAAGCTTTTCCAACACCACGGTCATCTGGTTTACGGCTGTGCTCAGCTGATGAAGAGTGGCGATGAGCACTTCGTGTTGACTTGCCTCCCTTTCATCCTTAATTTGGAGGCTGTTAAGGGCAGCATTTAAACTTGTTACGGTTTGCGATGTTCTTGCTCGTGGGTTACAGCCTGTTACACCTGGTGGGACAGTTAGCAAGTCATTTAAGGCGGCTGCCTCAGAATTAGGATTCTGCGGTGCCGAAAGCGGTGCTGAACTCTCGCAAGTCACCAACTCACTGGAATTGACAACCTCGGTCTGAATTACATCTGATTCAATTAGATCTGTTTCAGTTATATCTAGTTGAGAGCTGCATAGTGGTTCCTAATGAAACATTATAGTTTGGCAAATGTTATGTATGAATATCTAAATCCCTTAAATAGGCAAGTTTTTACTTATTTGTACAACGATTTTGGTGTGGGGGTGAATAGGGAGGGGGACAATACCATATTTCAAACCCAAATTATTAAAAATAGAGCACAGATATAGCTTTTTTTTAATAAAGTGTAGACTCTTGTCTACAAGTGTGTGTAAAAGTTATTTGATTCGGTTCACGCGTTTGAGCACAGCAACTCAAAACCGTTGTACAAATAACTAAACAGTACCCCTTAAATACATTACAGACACGTAGATATGTATTTCAAGGAAACTCACATACTTCATGCCCAAATGTACCCATGTTTGCTCGTCCGTATACTGTCGCCGCCCCAAAAGTTTCAAGCGCCTGTTGGTCGAAATCAGAGGTGTCTGCCGTCCGTGGTCCCCCACCGGTTCCAGTTACGTCCACATGCACTTTTCGTGCTCTGCAGCGTAGCTGGTTTTTCCACGCCGCTAATGTCTGCGAAATAATGTGTGTATGCAAATGTATTCATCCATAAATGAAAGATATAAATACATACATATGTATGCATGTAAATATACAAAACTTACATCTTTCCACTTTGCTACGGAGCGGGTGGGACCACGCATGGCGTTTAGGCTGTCAGCCATCTGCGTCCAAAGTGTTTGTATCAGTTTTGAGGAGCTCGGATTATTTCTTCCTTTCTGCAGCTCCGGATGCTAATTTATCTATTTCACACAAGTACTCACTTCTCTGGTGTTTCGCCGCTCATATTTTTTTGCAAATAATAGCGTTGACCAGCTGTTTCTACAACAACCAACTTTTCACCATGCATGGTAAGTTGACAAAAGCTTTTCCTTTGTCATTTTTTGTTAGGAATGTCAACGTGCAACGACAATGACAAAATCACGACAACGAAGGATGATCAATTGTCATTCTATTGCAAAACCGGAATAGGGCTGTAAACATTAAACAAAAGCAAAGAACAAGAAGCAGAGATGCTAAGTGAAACACGAATTCGCCGTTCATAATTGAGAGTGATTCGGTTGTTGTGGAAACGCCGTTATTAAGATGAGTTGAGGTAAGTTAAGGTGAGTTGAGGTGAGGTGAGTTAAGTTAAGGTGAGTTGAGGTGTGGTGAGTTAAGTTTAAGTGAAGTGAGGCGTTTTGAGTTTTTCGATCTGCAAAAATAAAAATAAAACACAAAAGTTAATTTTTATTTCTGAGAGAAAAAATAACGCTCAAGAAAGGAGTTTTATTTTCGATCAAAATAATAAAACTCAAAGAATAAGCATTATTTTTGATGAAAAAAATAAAACTAAAAAAAATAATTATTATTATTATTAATGATTATTTCTGATCAAAAATATAATACTCATAATATAATGATTATTTATGATCGAAAAGAAAACAACTCACAAAATAATTATTACTTGAGAGCAAAAAAATAACGCTCGAAATATGAGTTTTATTTTTGATCAAAAAAATGTAATTCAATAAATGATTGTATTTTCTGAGCAATAAAATAAACTCAAAATGTGATTATTATGATTGATCGCAAGTATTGAAATCTCAAAATAATGATTAAATGTTAATTTTTTTGATAAAACTCATAATGATTACGGTCCCTTGTATATACAGTAATAAACCTTTTTGAGTACTCCTCGTGCGTAAAATCTGATCAGGGTTGATAATGAGAAGGAGCATAAATTTTGCTGATTCAGAGTTGCATACAAAATTACTGTGGTATGAAATGGAGCAACAACCGTACCAAGGCAGAGTGGCACAGGTAATTTTGTAAACAAACACTTTTCTTATCATTCTAAAAAGATAATTGCTATTTATTTTCCAATATTCAGATATCCAGCTTGTAGCCAGAGGCAGTGGCTTGTGGGGTTCACTAAAATTTACTCATGATATTGGAACAGCTCCTGGTGATGGACCACTGAATGTGTTGGCTGAACTTATGACCGCCATAACCAACGCACTCTCCAACCAAATGCGTGTCTTGAATTTGTACGGTAGCAATTCATAGCAATTGCTATTGTATGTGTGTATGATTCATATTTGTTATATTCTACACTTTGATGTTAAGTATTTTTGAGGAGTTCCGCTCAAGCTTGGGTGTGCTTAATGAGCTGTCTGGGCGAATGCGCTGGCAGGCATTGGAGTCTCTATACCAAACCTTGTTTTTTTGGAATAAAGATTTAAATATATTCGGAAATTTAGAGTTTTCTTGGATAAATACACAAAATTCACGTCTTTTAATAAAAAATACGATGTGAGTTGCCAGTTTATAGAAACACAAGCGTTAATTATGTACTTAACTATTGATATTCAGGGTTTTTGTGGAATCTGATTGTTGTCGGAATCAGAATTGAAATCGATAAAAAAATGTAGTAGATGTCATGACTTCTGATATTATCGGTTTTATGTTCGAATCAGAATTGTTATCGTTATTCGGCGTCATGAAAACCAATTTTATCGATTTTGCTATCAGAAACAAATCAAGGAGCTCATCAATGAAAGATTTTGAATAATGCGTTCAAATTGCGTTTTAAATTATTTTGGTTTGCTGTTAGACGCTTTGAAACAATGTAAGTAAATAAGTTATTTCATTTTCTTAACATGTATTACATTTTTTTTATACAATACACAAATAGTGGGAAACATAAGAATAAAACGCAAAATGCCATAATCATTGAATTTATGGAAAAAAATCCGGATATTTTAAGAGCATTTACAAAACGAGACAAGCCTTTTAGAGATTCGTTATGGCAGGAATTAACTGAATCCCTTAATGGTGCAGGTCCTCCGCACAAGGATGTTAATGGGTGGAAAAAGGTAAATAACTCTGCACTTAATAAACTTCAGTGCAAATTAAACTTGCCATTCAAACAAATTTGTATTTATTTAGATTATTACTGAGTGGAAGAGCGAGATAAAAAGAAAACTAGCTCACAACAAAATGGAGAGGCGGCAACTGGGGGTGGACCCTCTTCCAAATACCAGCTGACCCAAACAGAGGAAACCATTGTGCGTTTATGTGGCATTGCGCAGACAGTGGAGGGTAAATAAGTAAATGCATGTGTAAGTGACGCAGTTGTAGAGGCGGATGTGGACATAAATATACCCTCCACATCGCAAAAGCACCAAGCAGAACCTTCAAGCGATTGTAGTACATCGAATAGGCAAAAGGATGTGGACAACGATATGCTCTCCACATCGCAAAAGCGACAAACTGAAAATGCAAACAATTGCATTGCATCGAAAAGGCAAAAATCGGAGAGCACATCGGACCGCTTAAAAAGATTTTTGGACGACGATACTAATGGAAAAACTGAAACAAACGAAAAGCTCGATGAACTAATAAATATCCAAAAGGAAAATGCAAGCAGCTTGAGACGTATCTACCGAACAATTGAAAAGAGTAACGACTCCGTCGCAAAAGCTGTAACATAAGTGAAATACGAATTCGTAAGTATTGGTACACGAATAATAAGAACTCTTGCGGAAAAAATTAGATTAAAAGAGAACTGGATCTCGAAATATTAAAGTTTGAACACAAAAGGCAAACTATAAACAAGTGATTACCTCATAAGAATAGTACTTTAACGAAAGTGGTTGTGAATTATCTTTTTAGTGCCTTAGTTTTAAAATTTAAAACTTATTTGCATTTAGTCATGAAGACTGTTAAATTTTTAAATATATGTTCGTAGAAAAAAGTTAAATAATTAATAAATTACTTGAATTACAAGGTATTGGCTATTTCGTCTCTTATTCTACGGCCTTCGCTTTGCATTGTTCCACTATCCGATGAAAATTCATTGTCCTCATTAGGCGCACTTGCACGAAATACGTTTTCTTCTAGATTACATTCAATTTTATAATGCCTGCAGATGTTGTGTAGGGCGCAACAAACGTTCACAATTTTAACCACTTTTTCAGGACGGTAATGTAATGCACTCAGCAAACAGCGAAAACGGCTTATCAGCACTCCGATTGTCCGTTCTACAATATTTCGCGCAGATGCATGAGCCATATTAAACTTATGCTCCTTAGAGTTAAACCGCGCATCTCTATAAGGTGTTAGTAAATATGATTCAATTCCATACCCACAATCACTCAGCAACCTTGATGAACGATCACCTCTCTCGTATTGTGCACGAAAATATTGTTTTGCTTCGCTTATGTTCCAAATAAATGCATCGTGACTTGAACCGGGATACCGCGCATCTCAAGCATCGTTCACTCAAAATCGGTACGCGCTCCAGCAATTTCTGTACAGCAATTGTTGGAATGTGTTAAAAGGTTGCACTGTAGATCGTTAGACAATAGATCTACCATTATGAGGTTTAAATTTCATAGTGATTGTAAAAGCCATCATAAATGAATTTTCTCGATTTCAGTGCATTCGCGAGCGGTAATACGGGCAATACGAAAAATTGGCTCAAATAATGGCAACCAAAAGGGATATTGCGCGAGGTTTTCAAAGAGGAAGTCCAGGCGTTTATGTTGTCATCTATATATATAAATGTGAATGTCCGTTTGTTTATAACCTTATAACTTTTGAACCGCGACACGGAATCGCATGAAACTTTTGACACTTGTTTATAGGCATAGAGAAAAATCGGCAGTACTGGAAAAGGGGGCGTGGCACCTCCCATACTAACTAAAATTTTCATTTTGGATATCTCTTAAAATATTTGCGGTAGAGTACTGGAACATGGTGTCGTGATAAATGAAATTAATTCCATACTCATGGGAAAAATGGGCGGAGTTGGAAAAGGGGCCGTGGCACATCCCAAAGGCGTGGAATTTTTAATCAGCTATAACTTCGGAACCATAAGTCACATAAACGTGAAACTTGGTATGCAGACATATCTATGGTACATAGGTGCTTATAGTAAGGTATACATAAATGAGTTTTTAAAAGGGGGCGTGGTGCTTATAGTTAGGTATGTTTATATAAATGAGTTTGTAAAAGGGGGCGTAGCGCATAACACAGGCGTTGAATTTTGTATCAGTCATAACTTCGGAACCACAATTTACATGGCCCTTTTAATTCTTTCTGATATGCCTTTCGAATTTACAGGACTCAGTTTCCAGTTCGCTTAGCTTTTGCAATGACAATAAACGAGAATCCCTTAAAGCAAAACCCAAAACTTTATCGAAAATAAAATCTGTGGTAATTGCATTTGAAAATGCATTTATGTTAATAGAGGCTTCGAAGTATTAAAAACATGCTGTGAAATAATATTAGTTATTATTCCAAAGAAATTAGATAGCTAAAATTTTAATATTACAACATTGGTATTTCTACTATTACTTACATACATATCGTCCTTTAAAGTGCAAAACCGCGTAACTGACCTTTGCTGCCAAAAACTGGATTTGCACACACAAGCTCTTGGCTCAATTCTTATCCATTCGTCCTGAAATATACTTGATGCGATTGCTTTATAAAAAAGAGAACCTTTTTGAAATATGAGTGTTTTTACTATCTAGAAAATAATTCATGCAACCTCACATATGCGATATATTATTTATTGGAGATATTTTAATGTAAATAAAAACACCTGTTGTGTCAAAAAGTTATTATTACATTTCATTACATAACACACAAGCTATACAACTGTCCTTCAGTATTATCCTATAGTAAAATTAGAGCAGAAATAAAATACAACATCTTTACATAAATTGTTTTTCATGTTTGTATAAAGACGTGGGGTGAAACCTGCGGGTAAAAGCTAGTTATCTATAAATAAGACTGTGAAATGCACTGAATACAATGTATTCTTTTTGTATAAAATTAATAGATGTACATATGTACATACATACATATATACATGAAATGTGAAGTTATATAAAAAAGATGTTTTTATTATTGCACTCGTTTTTACTAACTTTTTATAAAAAGAGGTGTGTATGTTGTCTCGAATTCGATTTTCTATGGAAGGGTAAGCTTTGTTCTTCCCCTCGTCCTGACGGCTTTCAAAATGGGATTCATTTGCGTTCAAATCCTCCACTCTGTAGTAAATGCAAATGTTGTGGAGTGCTCAAACAACGTTTATAATTTCACTGGATTTGAGCGATGAGTAATACAGTTCAAGATGAATTTCTTATT